CCCCCCCCCCCGTGTCCCTGCTGCAGCTCTAGGCCTGGATCCTCCGCTGCGAGCCCCCAGCGCTGACATCATGCTGCATGGGATTCGGAGCTCCCCAGAATGTGCCCCTGCTCCCCATGGACCCCCCTAACCTCCCCTACACACACACTCCTCTGGTCCCACATGCTCGGGGCGCCTTGTGAGCAGTGAGTGCCTGTGTTGTGCTGGAGATGGCACGCCAGCCTCACATGATGGTACGCGGGTCCCCGCACCCTTCCCCTCGGCTGCTCCGTCTCGGCTTCCGAGCATGCTCTCAGCTCGCTGCACACCAGGCCCGCGCGCCAGCAGCGCCCTCTCAGCCCAGACTGCGCGGCCCCAGCGCCTCTGAGCTACAGGAGCACCTGGGCAGAGCACCCCCAGGCGGAAGCAGCGGGGGCCGGACATGAAATAGCTACCTACAGTGCCTTCCCTGCCGCAGCGCTACATTGCAGCAGCTGTCACCCTGCTCTCCCCTGGCATCTAGGGAGGTCATCAGGTCAAATGGTTAGCGTGAAGGCCCCCTGGGAACCAGAGAGCCCTGACGAGTGGGAGACGCATCCCTGCCACCCACCGGACTGGGGGTCCCGTTCGCCTCGGTCAGCTGAGGCTAAGCCACCGCCTCCCCAGCCAGGCCTGGGCCCCGTGCTCCTCTGCCCCCGCCCCCCGCACTGCTGGCTGTCACTGAGCAGCACCCCGTCATCAGCGGCCCCGCATCCAGACGGCACCTCATTGGTTCCCGCGCACCCACAAGGCTCGACACGCAGAAGGGCCTCACCAATGATGAACGAAGGACAAAGGAGTGAACAGAACAAGGCCTGGCTTCACACAGCAACCGAGACGCAGTTGGGCCTCGAGGAAAGGGGTCACCGAATGGCTGCAGGACGTCCAGCCTCTGGCCCAGCCTCACCTGTACGGCTCCATGGTCCGGATGCCTCCCCCTCAGCCCCAGCCTCACCTGTACGGCTCCATGGTCCGGATGCCTCCCACTCAGCCCCAGCCTCACCTGTACGGCTCCATGGTCCGGATGCCTCCCACTCAGCCCCAGCCTCACCTGTACGGCTCCATGGTCCGGATGCCGTAGAACAGCGCCTCCTCCAGCAGCCCCAGGCGGATGCAGGCATCCATGGCGCAGTCCAGCACCTTCAGCTGGTAGATGTTGATGTCGGGCAGCCGCTCCGAGTTGCTGCTGATGATGGCCTGGCACAGGGCCAGCACCTGCTCCCACTCTGTGATTAGCCTGAGTCAAGGAGGCATCGTCTTCACCAAGAAAACTAATGTCAAATGAGACTCCACAGGCTGGAGAGCTGGGGGGTGGGGGGAAGGACCCATTACTTCGCACAGAGGAGCTGGCGGAGAGCACACTTGAGACAGAAAGCAGCAGATGCCCCCGGAGAAGTGCGTTCTGCTCCACCGACAAACCCTCTCCCGCCGCCGGTGCCCTGGGTACTAAGATTCCCAAAGAACCGTCCTCTTCATGTCCCTAGATGTGTTCTCTCTACACTCCATCGTGAAATGAAGGCGCTGTTTATCAAACTGAACTAAAGACTAAGTTCTGTTTAAAATTACTTACTGTTGCCCTGACTGGTCTGGCTCAGTGGATAGAGCATCGGCCTGCGGCCTGAAGGGTCCCAGGTTCGATTCCAGTCAAGGGCATGTACCTTGGTGGCAGGCACATCCCCAGTAGGGCGTGTGCAGGAGGCAGCTGATCAATGTCTCTCTCTCATCGATGTTTCTAACTATCCCTCTCCCTTCCTCTCTGTAAAAAATCAATAAAATATATTTTTAAAAATTACTGTCGGCTTGGCGTGACCCCGCTCTCTGAGACCCTGTACCTGGCCCTCGCATGGCCATGGGCAGAGGACTGGGGACGTGGCGTGTGGAACGCGCCTTGAATCCATTTGAGATGAATCACCCCACAAGCAGAGTGGATGCGAGAATGCCGCACGCTGAGGTAGGCCAGGAATAAAAACGCCCAATGTCACTGTGAAAAATGGAAGACTGTACGCAAACATTTAAAAACCCTGATGTGTCCCACTGTGAACAGCAAGCTCTGGGTGCCAGCCACGCGGGGACATGTTCAGTGGGAGGCACCCAATACACTCGGCACCCACACCACTGCTCTCCCGCCCTTTACCGGGTCACGACCTCCGAGGGACGAGACTGAAGGAAAATGGCTCAGTGGACGGAGTCTGATCGAAGTCCTCCCCCCGCCGGCCCCTCCGCACCCCCCACTATCAGTCTCTTCACCACCCAGTGCTCCCCTGGCCCCCCACCCCCAACTTTAAGCCTCGTCTCTGGGTCCAACCCAGCAAGCCCCGCCCTGGACAGAAGGCGGGCTCCCAGGCTCCTTCCTCCCTCCTTCCAGCAACATCGGCCTCCCTGGCATCCAGAGTCTCAGGGCACTGCTTCGCCAACCACTGGCAGACACTTCCAATAAACCCATCAGCCGCTGCGAGCGGGGGCACTAATATCTCCGCTAACCCTCACGGGAAATACATGCTTCTGCCAGTGGGGGCCTCCGGAGGCATAATCCTCGCCCCGAGGTCCCCACACCGAGGCTGGTACCCATCCCTTTCCGTACATCGCACTCTGTTTCAGGAGAGTCCCTGCTCGGGGAGCTGACCAGTCTCGGAAGAGGTGCACTGATTGAAGAGTGAGTTGGCGACTGTCCTTTGTGTCCGTCTGTGCGTGGGTTCAGGTTTGCGGAGCGAGTCTCCGGAGGCCAGGCAGCATGGAGGCAGCATGTGATTCTGTAACAGGTGCTGGGCTGACCTCTGTGGCTTTCATTCCAGGATCAGGCGTCTGATGTGTGGACGGGGACATGCCTGCCTCATACACTACGCTAGACTTTCTGTGGCAAGACTCTGCCCGGATTTGAACGTCGTGGGGTCTGGCCGCTGTTATTTGCCGGTTCCGTTCTATGCGCTCCAACTCACTTTAGAGAGTTTGGAAGCTGACCAGCCTCAGAAGCAGAAGCCAGAGGAGATACGCTGCAGCCCCTGATAGGAACACATCTGCCTTCTCCCCGGCGAGCGGGAAGGAACCACGTGCCAATTCCCCTCGCAGCCCTGGCAACCGTCTCCTGGCAAACGGGCCAACCTTCCCTGTAAACACCCCAGTGAGCAAAAAAATGGAATAATTTTAACTAAGAGGCTTTTCCCCAGCCCGTGCCAACGTGTTTGCTCAAGTCACTGGTGTGGGCTTGGTGTTGCCTCCGCTCCCGCTGCTCCCAGAGGCGCCCTGGACCCACGCAAGCTGCCCGGGCAGCAGATCCTCCATGGACAGAGCAGACCCCCTTCCCCCTGAAAACCTTTAACTCACCGAGGATTAGGGGGAAAGAGAGAGGGGGACAAAGTGGACCCAAGTGGGAATTCCTCAGCTCCTTGAGACAATGACGTGGACCACAGGGCTTCTACTCACCTGCTCATCTTACTCTACTGCTTAACCCCCACCGCCCACCGTCTCTCACTTATAAAGCCCACCTGATACATGTGGCCCTTAAAGCCTGGCCACGTCCCTCCTCTCATCCTGAACAGCTGGCTGTTTCCTGGCAGCAGGCTAGTGCGCCCATGAGCCTCCGCACAGGGCCCTCCCTCTGTGGGCTCCAAGCTAACCCCCCAGCACAGCTCGGCGTGGCCTCCTCTGTGACCCTGCCGTGACCTCCCACGCTGACTAATCCATGGATGCCCCCAGCCACATGCAGGCAGACTTCAGGGAGCCTGCGGGTTGGGCCCAGACCACTGCAATAGGGTGAGCTGTAATCCCTTTGCAGGCAGAGGGTCCTGCCTTCAGTTTGTAAAAACTACACCACCTGTCGCCCCAGCTGGTTTGGCTCAGTGGATAGAGCATGGCCCATGGCCTGAAGGGTCATGAGTTTGATTCCAGTTAAGGGCATGTGCCTGGGGTGCAGGCTCGATCTGTGTGCGAGAGGCAACCAATCCATGTGTCTCTCTCTGTCTGGCCCCTCCCTTCCGCTCTCTCTAAAAATCAACGGAAACGTATCCTCAGGGGAGGGTTGACAACAACAACAAAAATACACCACCTGTGAAGCCCATAAAGCAAAATGCAATAAAATGCGTGACACCTACATTTTACCTAAATACGTATTAATTTACGGATTTACTGACCCCGTGTGTGCGAGTGGTGATTCCAGGGTGTGTCTTCCTTCTGCCTGTACCCCAAGGTGGGTGACGGCTGGCAAGGCCCCCAGCAGAGACACAGTCCAGTAAAGCCTCGTCCAGTCAGACTGAGCGTTGCTGGGTGATCCATGGGCCCTAATTCTGCTGCTGGGCCCCCAGGACAAGTCTGTCCTCTGCAGGGTAACAGCTCCTTGAGCCCAAGAATGGCTCTCTCGCTCACACATCTGCTTGTTTCCCAAAATCCTGGTTCCACTCCTCAAAACTTATTTCAGTTTTTCTATATCCTTCTTAATATGTCCTCGCCAAAACGGAATAAAAAATTCCAGGTATGATCAGACTACCACGATCATCTTTCTCATTTTCTAGTCTTTATGGCTACTAATGTGGCCCAAGATCACAGTGGTCTGTTGGGAAGTTAAATTATACTCTTACATTTTATTATAATTTGTTGTTGACTAAAACCCTCAAATTCTTTCCTCTGTTTTGCTGCTCATCTTTGTGTATATTTATACACCTGAACTTTTTTGCCCAAATAGGTTTTATATACACTCCTGTTGAATTTAAGCTGTTTAGACTCAGGACTATTTCCAGCCTCTTCGAACACCTGATTCTGTCACCAGCCTCGGCCAGCCTCCCCGTCTACACCCAGTGGGGATGTGAGGGGCCTGTGCTCTGTGCCTTCATTCACGGAACAGAACCAGAGGTGGGAGAGGACAGAGGTGGAGCAAGGCACCCGAGTGACAGTGGTCCAACTCGCATCGTCTGTTCAGTGTGGCTGGTCAGCCATTCGGTAAGGCGTCTGGCCATGCTAGCATCTAGCATACATTGCTTGGCCTTTTTTTTCTTTTTCAATCTAAACTCCTTCCGAAATCTACAAACTCTACCAAAGGAAACCATGATTCTATGGACTCACTTGCTCTTAATGAACCAAGCGGCATCCTGGGGATGGCAGCTTCTTTTTCCATTCCTTCAGTAACTAGTTCTAGATTCTTTATCAAGACCACACACACACACACACACACACACACACACACACACACACACACAGGCATACACACAAAAAAAGCTTCGCTGGGCTATAGATTTCAGAAATTACTCATTTCTGAGTAAGTAATTTGAAAAAACAGGAACCTGTGTGTGACGCCCTCTCCTGTCGTTGACAATTCTGTAAAGAACAGTGTCTGTAGAGCAGGACCCTCAGGTGCAGGTTGTCTTGGTGCCTGGGAAGCATTTACGCGAAGCATCTGAAAGCCCGTTGGAATCTTTCCCATCAGCCGTGTCGCTTGCTTCTTACCCTGTGATTTCCCTTTGTCACGTTTTTGCTCAAGTGAACTCCTCCACCGGAAGCGACCCCACTGGGCCTCTGCCTCTGTCAATCCTGACCCCCACGACACCTCCTGTGCAGTCTGGCCTCAGTGGAGCCTGCCCAGGTGCCCTCCTAAAGGGGTCTGTCCTTACACTGCACTTTGGCCCACTCCCTCCTGGTCCTTCCTATTTGTGCCAAGAATGTTTGCTGCGTAGCAACGCCCACCACCATGGTAGTCTTGCTGATTTGACATGAAGCTTCTAGATCTGAGGGTCAAGGGCACTGGGATGGAAGAATTTTAAGCTGCTCTTTCCTGGAGATGTAGGTCATGAGAGGAAGGGAATCCAGGAATTGTTACCTTTTACATATAAAGAGGCCACTCCTCCCTGACCTGCTACTCCTGGACCAGGGAACAGGATAAAGCCCCCTGAGAAGGCAAACCCTGGCTTTGGCTTCATCCACATCCGCTCCCACCCGTAAGGGAGCCATGCCAACAGCACAGCCCAACCCACAGGGAAAGGATACTCCACTCTGCCTTCAGTTCTTCGATTTTCTTCAAGGATTCTTGAACTTCCTTCCACACTTTCTCATCACCAGTCAACATATCAGCATCCTGCACAGGCCAAATTAAAAGAAGACAAATTACTCAATTGAAAAATGGGCCAAGGATCTAAATAGACACTTCTCCGAAGAAGATATTCAAATGGCCAATGAGCATATGAAAAATTCTCAAAGCATTAGCCATTAGGGAAATGCACGTGAAAACCACAATGAGGTGTCACTTTACACCCAGAAGAAAGGCTGTAGTGAAAAATACAGAAAATAACCAGTGATGATGAGGCTGTGGAAAAACTGGAACTCCCAGGTGCTACTGAAAGGAATGGAAAATGGGGCAATCACTTTGAAAAACAGTCAGGCAGTTTCTCAAAAGATTAGGCATAGAATTGCCATAGCATTTAACAATTCCACTCCTTAGGCATATACCCAAGGGAAATGATAATATATGTTCACACACAAACTTGTGCATAAGTGTTCATAGCAGCATTACTCAGAAGAGCACAAAAGTGGATACAAGCCAAATGCTCATCAACTAGTGAATGAATAAAATGTGGCACATCCATACGATGGAATATTAGTTGGCGATAAAGAAGTAAAGTACTGATACATGCTGAAACATGGCCGAACCTTGCAAACATGAAAGAAGCCAGTCACAAAGGCCTACCTATTACATGGTTCCGCTCATATAAAATGTTCACAGTGGGCAAACCCACACACGGAAAGTGGGTTAATAATTGGCTAAGGTGGTGGGAGAGCTTGGAGAGAACTGGGGAGTACCGGCTAATGAGAATGGGGTTTACTTTGGGGGTGAAGGTAATGTCCTAAGATTCACTGTGATGGTGGTTCCACAACGAATGCACTAAAAGCGATTAAACTGTACACTTTCATGCTTGAATGGTATGGTATGACACATAAATATGAACACATCTCTAACTCTATATCTAAAAGACAGCACGGGGGAGAGGGAGGAGAGAAAGGACCGTTTGTGGGGAGACCTAGAGAGACACTTTAATCAATACAGGGTATCAGTCAAAGTGAGGCTAGGGAAGGAAGACGAGTATAATCACACCCACGCCTGTGAACCAATTTTGACTTTTGCGAAAACTAAAAATCAATCAATCAATTGAAAAAAATTTACAAAACAATTCAAGACAAAACTACAAGTTACATTTGCTAAAGGTCTGTCCTTCTGTTTAGCAATACAGAGTCCCCAGCCATATGTGGCTGTGGCAACCACATTGGCAGCGGTAAATGCTAGATTCTGTCACCACAGCCAGTTTCTGTTGGAGAGATGCAGAGTGAAGCCGATCAAAGGGTAAGGAGCTCTCTCGGACCCCACTGAAAACCAGGCGTTTGAAATCCAAGAGCCCCTCAATGGGTGTAGGGAGAAGAGCTTCCCAGGAAGTTATATCAAATCACAACAGGTGGGGGCGATGGTGAGGCGAGGAGGGCAGCCGGTGCAAACTGTACACCTCTCCCTGCAGAGAGTTTCACTTGCCGGTAGGGTTGGTTATGAAATGACCCCCGTGAGAGCCATTGTCAAAGCAAGCCTCTGTTACTGTGGAAAGAAACGCATCTCTCAGGTGTGCCAGGGCAGAAAAATTGCGGGGACCACGGAGAAGCGCAGAAAAGAGGCCCCAGGGCAGGGTGAGCAGTGGGCGTGCAGATGAGAAGAACAGCGTGTGCTGGGGAGTGTGCTCTGTAACAGGCTTTTGGGTCTCTATGTGTATATGTTGTGCATACGTGTGGTACAATAGGGTGGTTTGAAAAGGCTCCGTACGTGCACACTACATCTCTCAGAAAATTCAAATTAAGTACCTAGCTATCTGTAAATAGATGAGGGAAATAAGTTCTTTTTAAAAAGCTGAATACCAATCTCCCTTCAAATACCTGCTCTGAGTCCATGTTCATCTCCACAAGCCTCCGTTCCATCGCCTCCCTCCAAAGCCCTTAGCAGCCTCCTGGCACCTCCCAGATGATGAAGTCACCATCTTACACCTGGACAGTCACAGCCGCTCATGGTTCATTTTACCATTTTATACGGCACGACTGGCAGCTCAAGTCAGTCTCTGTGCAAGCGTCTCACTTGTTGGACGCTGTGAAACAGAATAGTGGGCCCCCCTGCGTGTCAGAAGATGTGCAGTCCTGCTCCTGTGTCACCCAGAACCTGACTGTGCCAGGTGACATGGCCAGGGAATCAAGTTGCAAGTGGGTTCAGGCTGCTCATCAAGTGACCTTAAGAGAAAGAGATGGTGCCGGACTACCCAGTGGCCCCAAAGGAATCGCAAGGGTCCCTCAGGGTGGGAGGGGAGGAGAGGGGACCAGGTGCTGTGGTGTGAGAAGGGCCTAACCTGCATTGCTGGCTTTGAAGAGGGAGGAAGGGACCCATAGACGGAGGAGGACTGGCCGCCTCCAGAGGCTGGAGAAGGCGAGGAAGCGATTCCTCCAGGACCTTCGCTTCAGCCCAGGGAGACCCACATCAGGCTCCCAGATGATAATGATCTTGTGCTCTTTTAAGCCACTGTTTGTGACAATGTGTTACCACAGCCAGAGGGAGCTAATACAGACCCTACCATCCCTTCAGTTCTTCTGGCCACTGGAACCTGGTACATTCCCCTCCCTTTCTCTAAAATTAACCCATCTGACCACTCATCTATTCAGTGAACACTTAGGAGTGCCCTGAGGCACCGCTCTAGGCACTGAGCATAGAGCAGTAAAGCGATCAGACACGCGGTGTTCACACCGAAGAGGTAGGAGAGGCGTGGAATGGCAGGGAACACACGCGCGGAAAATATGTACTTGTCACGGGCAAAACAAATGAACAGGCGGAGAGGACCCCCTGGGTGGGAGTCCTGGCCTCAGGGAGGTCCGTTTTGAGCCAGCAGCCGGGGAAGGCCCCACGGAGAAGGTGACGGATGAGGAGAGATCTGCAGGGGGCGGCGGAGGAGGAGATACGAGTCCAGGGAGAGGGGGCAGCAGGTGCCACCGGGGGGGAGGCAGGAGGTGCCCAGCTGCTCCAGGAATACAAGGAGGCCGGCGCAATCGAGCTCCCGGACTGTGCCTGTCCCATCTCCCCGATTTTATTATTTATTTTATATTTTTAATAGTTTGTTGATTGACTTTTACCGAGAGAAGAAGGGAGAGAGAGAGAGAAACATCAAGGTGAGAGGGCAATATTGACCAGTCGCCTCCTGCACTCCCCCCTCCCCCTGCACTGGATGGAGCCTGCAACTGGGCACATGCCCTGGACTGGGAATTGAACGGCAACCTCCTGGTGCAGGGGAGACACCGGGCCACTGAGCTGCCCTGGCCAGGGCACATCTTCCCCATTTCAGAGCTAAATGAAGGTCTTATTATTCTTCTTTGATCCCGCCTCTCCCAAATACCTCGCACAGAATCTTTTATGTCGCAAATGCTCAGATAAGGGTCTGTAGGATGGACCTGAAGAAGGAAACCGATGTTTATTTGGTAATGATCTGGATGTCTCCTGTCTGTCTGTCAGCGATTCCTCACAGCCTCCTGGTAATCAATACCTACAATCTACAAATGTGGCACAGACAGCCCTAAGCCATAGTAACTGCGGGGAGCAGCCTTCTGTCCCTAATTGTCATGCGTAAGACTCAAATCCACCTCTGACTTCAGGGCCTATGCTCTTCCCGTGTCTTGATGTTTGATCTGAGTCTGTTTTTCTCTTGGGCTGCTGAAAGGTGAAACTCATGTGTGGGAGGCAGTTAATTCAAAATATCTTCAAGCCGTGGGTCCTACCATATTCCTCGCACTCGCACTTGGAAAAGGGCAGTCGAATGCTGCAGCGTGGGCCTCACATGGGGCTCCTGTATTCTCCCACCAAGCAGGGTGAGACTACGGGTCCAGGCAGAGCAGCTAAACTACCATCATCTCCACAGCAATCCCCACAGAATCGGATCAGCTGTCCTTCGGGCTGCGCCAAAGATTTTATTTGCTTATCAGAAGAGCAGGCAAGCTTTGACAGTGCTTCCCGACATCCAGGAACAAGAGCTCTCGAGAGCACTTCATCGCGGAGCCGGACAAAGCTCGGTTCTCTGAGCACTGGCTACCCACTCCCCGGAGGGTCCCCGGTGGGGAAAGTCTACCCTCAGGTTCCCGGTTCACTCACGCACTCCCCGTCCTGGCCCACTCTGCTCCACTGGGTTCCCACTTCCATTCACTTCTTTGGCTTCCTTCCCACGAATCCCTTTAGGATGCAGCCGCAAATGTGCCGTATCAGGAAACCCGCCCTCTCTCTGCCCTCTGGGCCACCACAGCCATCTGCCACCTGTCCCGTACATCAAGTGCCATTAATGATCAACTTCACCATCTCCCCAGCTCACCGCAGAGCTCCTGGAGGGACCATGACCTCATCGTCTCTGCATTCCCAGCGCCTATTCGGTAAATGTTGGTGACAGAGTGAATGAATGGAGAGAGAGCAGCGATCGTCTACAATCCCAGGGAGCAGTATTCTAAGAATAAGGTACCTCAGTTCCACAACAGGAGGAGAATTCCAACCAAGGAAACAGAAGGTGGTTCTTTCACACCACCCTTCCATCTCGCCTTGTTTCTACTACTGACTTCGACATCGTGATTACGTGAGAAAAGGGGGAGTCCCTGTTGTCGTTGTCAGCATGCCCAAGGCCCGGACACTGGTGTGGGACCCAACTGGGACTCTCCCCAGCCTGAGAAATCCCACTTCAGCTCAGCCTCTGAGAGCAGCATCGACGTATTAGAGAGCGGGTTCTGCTGATTCTCCTGGCTCCTACCTCCAGCATCATCCTGAGCCTCCCGCTGCTCACCTGGCCCGCACATCCCTGCCCCGCACATCCCGCCCCGTCTCTCCCGGGACGAGTCAGGGAGGCCATCTATGTTCCCGGAGACACAGCTGATAAATCAGTTCTCTAGCCTCACCCCCTTAACTGTGAGAAATAGGTACCAGATGATATGAGATCATCTCCCCCCTACATCAAAGGGTGCCACTCAGCACAATTACATCCAATTGGGCAGAAGCACTTCCTTGGGTTCCAGGTGCCAGTGGCTGCAGCG